AAGTCTTTCTTTCTAATTTACTCTTGTTTAATTCATTCAAATAATGAGACCTAATTAATGCGCGTACGCGATTTTTACTAAACAGAATACAAATAATAAATACTCACCCTTGGGTCGCTCCGCCGGTGCAGGATGCCTTTCCTAGGCCTCCTCCTCCTCTCAGAATGTCAGGGTCGCTACGTTGATCTGTAACATACAAATAGAAGATTCAAATTGTAGTAGCGCTCAAAATAATTAATATTTCAAAAAATTTATTATACGCATTGAATTTTATATTCGATGCATATAATAATAAGTAGATAAATAAAGTAATTTTATAATTTTTGAGAAAAAACACTACTAATAATTCTAATAATTCCATGTAAAGTCATAATCTAAAAATAGAAACTTTAATTTAATTTGATTGATCATTTGGTCTCTCTTATATCAGTTAAAACAAAGTTTAAGAACAATGTCAACAAACAAATTCTACGATATGGATGAGCTATAAGAAGTTAGAATAAGATTGGCGCGTTATAAAAATAAGTTGCCATTACACGTAACAAATTATAAAATAATTTAATTGATAAAATTACTAACGTTCTTTATTCAATAAATCGGTTAAAATCTACAAATTGGAAAAAAAATGTTTCTATAATCTTCCTTCTGTAATTTAGACTTTAATTTACTTTTGCAATAGATGCAATGCATATCAAAAGAACTTATTAAAAGTTATTCAACTTGATCTGTTTTAGCTCATCCATTTAAAAGTAACGGATTTATCTACAATCTACAATTTACAATCTACAATTTACAATTTACATCTACAATCTCTACAAATCCGTTACTTTAAAATTGAATAAAAGTTTGTCACTCACCGGCACTGATGCGCAACAGCGGAGTTGTTGGTTTGAGGCTACGTTGTCTGTAACATACAAATATAAAGTCCAAATTATAGCAGCGCCCAAAATATAATTAATATTTCACAAAATTATAATTTTACGAATTTTATATCCAATGCGTACGATAATAAGCAGACACATAAATACGCAACAATTTAATAAATTTTAAAAAGACTGTTTTTTAAATAATAGAAACATTTATCAGATGTAAAAGTCTTTCTTTCTAATTTTCTCCTGTTTAATTCATTCAAATAATGAGACTGAATTAATGCGCGTACGCGATTTTTAACAACCAATATACAAATAATAAATACTCACCCTTGGGTTGCTCCGCCGGTGCAGGATGCCTCTCCTAGGCCTCCTCCTCCTCTCAGAATGTCAGGGTCGCTACGTTGATCTGTAACATGCAAATAGAAAATCCAAATTGTAGCAGCACTCAAAATAATCAATATTTAAAAAATTTATTATACGCATTGAATTCTATATTCGATGCATGTAATAATAAGCAGATTAAAAAATAATTTTACAAATTTTGGAAAAGACACTACTAATAACTCTAATAATTCCATATAAAAATTATAATCTAAAAATAGAAACTTTTACAAGATTATAGCTTTCATATAAAAATCTTTTTCTCTAATTCTTTCTTGTTTAAATCATATAAATAAAAAATCAAATTACACAATTAATTGCTCAATTTAAATTGCACATATATAATTAATAAGTAATTAATATACAAATAACAATTTACTTACCACAGGATTGCTCCACCGGTGCCCGACGCCTCTTCTAGGCCTCCTTCTCCTCTCAGGTTGATTCACACGCGCGATACTTTAAACGGCACTCCCGCACTTTTATTAAAAGATATTACTTCCGCACTTGTGCGCGATACTTTGAACGACACTCCCGCACTTTCGAATTTCGGCACGATCGAACCCCGCTTCACGTGAGAATCACACTTCGAGTCGACAAGTCGGGAATTCACCGATTACTTCGAGCAAAGGTTAAGCGGAAGCGGAAGAAGACGAAATCGATTGATGGAATCGACGCGAATGGGATTCGCTCGACTCTTGGTCCGCGCCTGCCCCCATCGAGGGCCGACTCGAACTTCATTAGGAACGATTTCATACGAACCACCAAGTCTCTATCATACAGACTGAGCCGGGTTTATCGTAAGGCTGAGAGACGGGTCGAGAATGAAGATACCCACCTC